CCATCAAGGTCCCATCAAAATTCTTCACAGATCTTGAGAGGACAATAATCAACTTTATATGGAAAAACAAAAAACCCAGGATTGCCAAAACAATCTTATACAATAAAGGAACTTCGGGAGGCATTACCATCCCTGACTTCAAACTCTATTACAGAGCTTCAGTATTGAAAACAGCTTGGTATTGGCATAAAAACAGAGAAGTTGACCAATGGAATCGTATAGAAGATCCAGATTTTAACCCACAAACCTATGAACACCTCATGTTCGATAAAGGAGCTAAAAGTATACAATGGAAGAAAGAAAGCATCTTCAACAAATGGTGCTGGCACAACTGGATGTCAACCTGTAATACTTTTTTTTTAATACTTTTTTGAAAAGAAATAAACTCTTGGTTACCAGGACATTCTGTTAGTATGGTTACTAGAGTCACCATCTATAAAACCTGGCTCTGGCAATCACCCACATTAAGAAAAAACATAATATTTGGAATAATAAATGGAAAAAATGTGTATATATACACACATATATCCATACATACATACATTTACACACATGCAGTTTTGTCCAAACCTGGGAGAAATCCTCAGTCTGTCTCTGCCTTACCTAACAGTATCGCAACTTAAGCAAAACATGAAATTAAATTCAGAAGATAGGAATGTGTAAATTTAGCCATGGGTGTCTGCAAAAGAAGATAAGCTTTTCCCCTGGTAGCAGGGGCTTGGGTTTGTGAGGAGACATACTTTGACTCCCACCTGGTCTCCATTATGACCTCTGTTATAATGCTATAGCACCAAAATCATCTTCATCATTTTCAGTCCTCTTGATGTAAGCTTACAGATTTTAAAGTATTTCAAGTTTTTTTTTTAGAAACAGAAAGCCCTTCTGAAAAATGTTTAAAGTTTCTAAATCATAGTATCTGACGAAATTTGATGATTTACCAAATCCTCCATAATACTGTGTTTTAGCAAATAATACAGTTAAGGTCTAAATAACCAATGAAACAGAGAGCAATGAAAATGTCAATTTTTAACTATTCATTAATGTTCTTAGGCCATAAACCCTACCAGAAAGATTATTTCTAAGAGCTGAATGCTGTAGATTAGTCTTGCTTCTTACGTTAAGTCTGACAGGAAAGCCCTGTAGGCTGCAGATTGATTTTTAACTTTATTGTTCCCCAGCAATCAAGCTGCCAGTACCAATCTTTCCTATATTCTTGGAAATGCTAATCTCCAGTTGCCCTTCTCATCCATTTTCTGGATGAGATCACTGATCTCTCCCTCTGCCCATCATAAAAGAGTATTTTTGACAATACTGTTGTGGGATATTATTTTAAGATGTGTTTCATTCATTTATGCTGTGGAGTATCTGTTTAAGAATGCAAAGATGTGTTGCATTTGTTTAACTCTGTAAAGCTGTGTTACTTTGCCTTACTAATAAAGAGCTGAATGGTCAATAGCAAAGCAGGAGAAAGCATAGCAGGCCTGGCAAGCAGAGAATAAATAGGAAAAATCTGAAAAAAGAGGATTGAGGAGCAAGAAAAAGAAAGGAGGACTCCAGGAGCCAGCCACCCAGCTACACAGCAAACCCACAGAGTAAGAAGTAAAGAAAGGTATATAGGAAACTAAAAGCCCAGAGGCAAAAGGTAGATGCAGTAATTTATGAAAAGTTGACTGGAAATAAGCCAAGCTAAAGCCGGACTTTTATGAGTGTTATTAAGACTGTGTGTGTTTATTTGGAAGCTCAGTGGCAGGCCCCAAAGAGTATAAAAGTTAAAAGTTAAAAAAAAAATCAAAACAACAACACAATACCATTTGCCTTTTGTGAGGGACTTTTTTTTTACACTTTGAGACTGTGTCAATAATTATGAGATACCTCCTAGTATCTCAGGCATCAGCCACTAACTTCTAGCTGTTCCTCTTACCATTGTTAACTGCCAAAAGGTTAAATGCCAAACCTTCTTATTGTAGACTATTGAACTATACAAATGCGTATCAAATGGCCCCCGAGTTCTTTTCCTTAATCCCTTTTCTTTGTGCAAATTGAATAACATAGCTTGAAAATTAGATTTTAAACTTTATTTAAGTTGGAGAACGTATTTTTCCTTTTTAAAACTAAGAAGTAGATTGTAACATGATACCAGTACTAAAATGATGTCTTATTTTAGATGTCAGTTGACTATTCTTGGGTTAGTCATATACCCTTACTTTAATATTTAAGCTATTAAATCATGGCTAAAAATTATTTTAGTAAACTGATGATACATTCTCATAATTCTAATATTTCATATTTGTGTAGCTCATGAGCACATATTTGTGGAGGTCAGAGGTCAGAATCAGCTGTCTTCCTCTGTTGTTCTCTACCTTATTTTTTGAGTCAGCGTCTCACTTAGAACTGTAGCTCCCATATGTGACTAGCCTGACTGACTGACAAACACCAGCTTCCTTTTGTCCTTGCATTCATAGCCCTAAGAGCCTGAGACACTGCCACACCTCTCTCTCTTAGATACTATGAATAAAACACAGGTCCTCATGGTTATATAGAAAGTCCTTTTACTGACAGAGCTATCTTCCCAGACCCTGATAGTTCATATTTTTACCATAACACTCCTTCAAAGTTTTTTATTGACCCAAGTTAAAAATGATGTGGTATTGAAATATATATATATATATATATACATACATACATACATACATATATGGTCCAATAACTTTAATGATTTTATTTACTTATAAAATGAGTAATTTTTGTTTAATAAAATTTTATTGTTGGCATATTCATGATAATAAAATTAACAATAATACTTCTGCCCATCCTAACTTTAAAATATACTGTTTATGCTAAGAATTTTGCCATCTAAGATTTAGAATAGCTAACAAAGGCAGAAAAAAATGGATATGACCTTTAAAGGAATCAATAATGATTATATCTAAGATAGAGAAGTGGTGAGCAGTTTTGTCTTTGATAGTTATGTTTTGAATGGCTTCACGAAGTATGTGTAAGGTATGTTTGGAATTCTTATTACTATGCTTCTGAGCAGAAATAATGCTGAGAGATCTATAAATAAATCCCAGGGAGACTAGGTATAATTTCCCATGCATTCTTTGGAGAAAAACTTTGCACATATGGGTGTTATGCCTACATATGTGTCTGTGCACTGCTTTCCTGCTTGGTATCCACAGAGGCCATAGAGAGTGTGGATTCCCTTACAGTGGGGTTGCAGATAGTTTTGAGCCACTACATGGGTGGTGGGAATCAAACTAAGCTCTCTTGAAGAGCAGCCAGTGCTCTTAACCATTGTGTCATGTTCTGTACCCTGAAGAAAAAGTTAACACTGTCTTTAAAGCAACTTCTAGGCTCGCAGGTGAAACCACTCACTTAACATGCATTGAGTACTCATTGTACTCAGAAAAAGAGAACAGTGGTGTGAAAGTGATCTAAACATAGAGCTTTCTGTTTGAGGCTGGAGGGATGACTAAGCAGTTAGAGCTTTTGTTTCCCTTACAGAAGATCTTAATTTAGTCCCAGCACCTACACTGGACAGCTCAGAAGCACCTGTAACTCCAGCTCCAGGAGATTCAATGCTCTCTTCTAAGATGTTGTGGTTACACATACACATAACCACACAGAGATATGGACATAGACACATAATTTAAAAAATATAAATAAATTCATTCAAGATTTTATTGGGTAGTCTAAGGACTCCCTAGCGCTGTAAAAGCCAAAAGCACCAGACAGATCGGACTTTGCATTAGAAAGGATGATCATAATGGGGAATTTTTTTTTTTAATTTTGATAAAGATTTCACACAGGCAGTTAAACAAATGAGGAATGGCTCTTATGGGAGACATCATAAAGGATCTTAGCATATGTGAATACAGGGTCTGCCCTTTTCTAGAAAGGAATAGAGGAACTTTTTAGAATAAGTATGGGGCACTAGTTAAGTTCCTCTGTCTTCCTGGGAGCATAGAGTTCAAGTAAAGCCCAGCATTATCGACGTAAGGGACGAACGAAGGCCAGGTACAGCCGGCGTCATATCACCAGTGCACCAAAGGGTAGAAAACAAAAAATCGTGTTTGACAATGAGTAGGGGGCTATTCTGATCATATAATAGCTGTCTGAATATCCTCTGGAGAATAAAACCTTAAACATCTTAATAATGAAACGACGTTTTCTTAGGAACTGAGCACTGTAATTGCTGACCTAAATAAATCGCAGCTCTCATATCAAAAAGAGTAAGAGTGAATCTGTTCTGAGCGAAGTGTGAATAGCCATGGCCTGGGAACACATTCCGATTACTCTAGATGATATCTTCCAAAATAGAAGACTTCTGTAGTCATAAAACAGGACAAAATCACTAATGAAGGCATGTTATGAATGCAATGATGAGAGCAACAGGCAGGCTTCAGGTTACAGATCCCGGTCAGGAAGAGGTGTACAGGAGACAGTACAGGCACTGGGAGTCATGAGTTCAAGGCCAGCCTTGGATACGTAGCAGACCCTGTCCAAAGCATGAACTTGAGCTAATACAATCATAAGATACAGAATATAAGCACATTTAAACAATTCAGGAAGCTGTACATTATCTTTTTCATGTACAAGTAAGTTGTTTACTGCCTTTAGCTTTCCCCGAGGCAGCATAGCATTTTTAGTTTCAGAATCAAATTTTCTTTCCATTTTAAAGCAGAAAATAAAAGGATAATGAAGTTGAATAAAAATTTATGTTTAAAAAGTTATCTAAATAGTTACACAAAGAAAAAAGTACTTGAGAAAATATAATTTCCCTCAAGTTTTTTGGGAGCAATAACTTTAAATTATCTTTGAAAAGGTGAGCTTCTTTTTAAAATATATTCTATAGCTCTGCCTTAAATTGCTATTTTACTACAAACACTTATGCTAGAATATTTTCGTTTTGTTGTTCTGTTTAGTTCTGTAATGTTCCTTTGAGGATCTTGAAAATTGTCATTAGTAAGCTATGAAAGATTAAATGCTCACAGCCCATGAATTCACATTGTATTTATGGCTGAAAGTCAAATACATGATTGTAATCTGTTATGCATAGAGTTATCTACAACTCTGAACATGCCAAGAGACGTGTGCTGCTCTCAGCCTTGGTCAGAGAAGATTCTTCACAGACTCATAACTCCTCAAAGTTCTGAGAGTAGGTATTTATTTATTCTCAGAATGCTTGGCAGTAGGTAGAACAAGTATGTAAACATCCCTACCCACCCCTACTCCGAGGCTGGGATAACATCCCAGAAAAGGGACAGAAAGAATATAAGTGCCAGAGGATGAGGAGGTGTGCCCTAAAAGGTTGGCTTCTGGATATGACCAGAACTGCTGCTGTGGTCGCCTACGCAAGACCTACAGACGATCAAGCCAGTTTAAAAATCCAGCATGAAATGGAGAGGGACTTTTAGTGCCTCATCCCTAGCTGAGGCGCTCATGGCATTTGATGGCAACTGAGAGAGGGAGATTAAAACTGTTTTGGGGGGGTAACCATTGGTGGGTTTCCTACATCCCATAAATGATCTCCCACACATTCCCATATGAGTAGCACAAAGTGGACCTAGTGGAAGAAAAAACGGGCATGAAGTTAGGGGGTAGATGGAGAACACGTTGAGGGGGGAGTAATGGAGCTGGGGAGAGCACTGGGAGAGCCATATGATGAAAATACGTTGTATACATCTCTGAAGTCTTCACAAGATTAAAAAGTATGGGAGCCATGTGACTTCTTCCTAAAACAGAGCCTCAGAATAGCACAAACAAGTTCTCCTGTGTCAAGGCCAAAAGAGACACCAAAAAACCCTAAGAGTCATCACACAATTGGAATGAAAATATCTTACCGCAGTCTCAGACCTGCTGCTCTTTTTATTCTTAATCAAAAGCTGAAACTCTCTAGATATGGTTTTCTTTAAAATGGAGTTTGTAAAAATCTACTTTTATAGAACTATATCAAGGTTTAAATGAGAAATACAAGTGAAAATAGCACGCATAATACCACACTATGGTAGTGTTTAGTAAACCTCATATGCCATTTCTTCCCTTTAAAATATTTAACTCTCATATTGTGGTTATTAATTTCTAGATTGTGTATAGCTATTCAAGAAGCCAATGTACTAAAAACAGGGAAAACACATTTGGAAAAGCAGATCAAAGAGCTACAAGCAAAGTGTAATGAATCAGAAAATGAGAAATACGAGGCTATTTCAAGAGCCAGAGATAGCATGCAACTCTTAGAAGAAGCTAACCTTAAAAAGAATCAGGTGAGAAAATGTGCAAGCGTGTTTATAAATAAGATCTTCACATGCCCTAACAATAGAAGGATCATCAGCTACCAAATCAATGCATGGAAACAAAACACTACACCTCCCATTATCAAATAATCATGCTATATATATTTTAGATGGTAAGAGTAATATCATAAAATATACTAACAGTCATTTTCAGAAATAGTATTTAGATATCAGACTTTTATATCCCCGATCCCCGAGTCACTCTCCTGCATCCTCTGTGCTGTCAGATTCGTTAACCAGCGTGGACTCAGTCAGATGCCGCTTACTCGTGTTCTTTCCCTTTTACCTGTACAGCTCCCTCACCGAGCAGAAGCTTAATTGACAAAGTTAAATGCAGCTCAAAGACTAGATGGATTCTTCAACTCGTCCTTTTTTTTTCAACCCCTTAGCCCCTTTGATTCCTGTACTGTTCTGGACTATGCTTTGTTTCTTGTGCTGTTTCCCTGTAAATAGGTATAATTAATAGAAGACAAAAAGGAGATGATTTTGTAAAATGTTACTCCCCTTTTTGTAGAGCTCCTTATAGCATTAATGTGTATACCAACATTTCTGAACTTTGTAATATATGCAGAGTACTCCAGTAGGAAATGCACAGGGAATAAAGGAAGTATATTATTAACGTTTCTTTCTTGAAGTGGTAGATATTTCAAGAGAAATACTAAAAATGGAAATAATATAAGTTGGATTTTATAAGCCTAGTTAAAAGGAAGTTGGATGAGGTGCCACATGCCTGCAGTCCCAGCACTCAGAGGAAGTGGAGCCGGAGGATAATGAACTTAAGGCCAGTGGCTCCCACAACTTAAGACGCGAAATGCTGAAGTGCTTACACCTTTCAGTTAGTGTTCCCTTTGTGACATAAAGTCTGTCTCTCCACTCCTGGATTAGTTTAAATGCAGACAGTAGGTCTTGAGATACAGCTCAGTGGCAGAATATTTGCCTGCCACATGGACCACCAAAAGGAGACACATTGTGCCTGTAAACTGTTCTCCATACCCAGATAGAAAATTTAAGAATGGGGCAAAGTTATTTGTCTTTGCCCTCTGAAGCATAGTTGTGTAAACACTTATCAGATGTCATGTGGTGTGTAACTGAGAGAGGACGGGGCACCTAAGTCAGGAAATCCTTCAGAAGCAGACTGTGGCTGTTATATTAAGTTTCCTCTTGACTCATTGCTTAGTTGCTGGAGGGTTTCCATCTTGTGGTTGCTGGTTCAAAATATAGAATGCTCTTCCTTATTTTTTTTTTAAAAAAAAGATTTGCTTATTTTTATTTATGTATTAAAAATAAGAAAAGTTCAGAATGACCCTGAGACTTTCAGTTGTGGAGATGAAAAAAGTGGTGAGAAACTCTGCAGAGACTTAATTAGGAAAAGGTGGGCAATGCTGGGGAGATTGTTTATCATTCATAACTTATGCGAGATCATCAATGGAGGCATTCTGGCAATCTAGAATGAGACTCTGCTGTCAAAGACTGTATTCCGTTCCCAGTGAAATGTGATGTTTAACGTGCCATGATTATCTTCTGAAGATTCTGCTTGAAGAGAAGCAAAAAGAAGATGACAGAGAGAAAATGAAGAAAACAATTTCCCAGCTTATACAAGATGCTGCTGTAAAAGCAAGGAAAGAAGTAAGGAGTTTTTAATTATATTTAAAATACAAGATTTAAGAATTTAAGTCCTAAGACCAAATGCTATTTAAATACTTTAAATTAAAACCTTGTGCACTCACTCTTAAAAACTGTGTGGAACTATGTATGTAAGTAATTAAAAACTGATGTTTCTTTCCCTTAATTGAACTGCTGTGATATAGTGTAATACACTACATAGTCTTTGACTGCAAGTGAGTTTTTTCTTACCTATGTTTTTTGTGCTCAATATTTTTCCCCTTAATGGACTACAATTTCAAGTGATTTTTTTATTATTTAAAAACACAAAGTCAACCTATTTGCTTTCAAGCAACTAAATGGTAGTTTTCATTTTATAAATACATTGGAAATATATCCCTTAGAAATATTCTTTAGTCATGCCTTATAAAGTCATATTGCTTGAGAACAAGCTATGTATGATAACAGTAACCTTATGAAATTATAATAGAGCTGAAACACCTGTTACCTGGTATATTTACAGTACCTTTTCGTGCTAGAAAACATTGGGGTAGACAGCACCACTGCATGTACCTTGCCATCCATTACCATGCTGTGTAGTTTCACAGCCTGTGAACTCTTGTTAGTCACCATTATCACATTCCCCAAACAGTGTTTCAGAGCAAACCCTGTTGTTATGTAATGTGTGACTGCACTTTATTACTTATTGAAATTAGATAATTTCCCAATGTAAAAATTCAAATTTAAGACAGTCAGACTAAACTCTTTTTATTCTAATCCTTTCTGCAAGTACCTTCCCTATACGTTAGCCTGAGAATATTCTAATTTTAGACTATAGCTTTCAATACTCTTGACATACTTTTTTAATGGCTAATATTAAATATTGGTTGTTTTCATTATCTTTGTAAAAATATTTTATCATGTATTAGCATTCTAGCTGCATTTTTAAGATCAATTAAAATACATTGATTTTTTAAGGCTGATTCAAGTTTTACTCATGTTAACCTATAAGTTCAGTGCATTTTTAAAAAGCATTGTAGTCTCAATGTTTATCCTAAATATCTTTATAAACTGTGGCATCTGCCACATAGACTCTAGGTATTTTCCTATTTGTAAGTAGCCCAAGTGGACATCTGAGGCTCTTGTGTCCTTCCTTGACCCTAGTTACCTCCCTATCTGTAAGCCCCCCAGGTGGGCCCCTGAGTCTGCGTGTCTTAACTAAACAGATCCTCTTAATCTCAGACCGTCCCTTTCATGCATGTTCCTATCTGCTTCCCTAAACCAGCCTTTCCCTGCTAGTCCAGGGATTCAGTGTGTGCCAAGCATTTTATTTGTTCTCTACCTTATGTTGGTTCTACAATTACCAGCTTTCATTATCTAAACTTTAAAAGTAGTGCATCCTCATGATGGCGAGAAATGGGAGAATACTAGAAAAGGAAAATTAAATTTACATTATTTTTGGCCTTTTCTTTAGGTAGTCATTTAATAATTATCTGTGGCATATATGAAACAAAACTGCATATACATGTATACATCCCCAAGCAAATATTAGAATCATGAAATTCTTTACTATCTACATCTTTATATTCCTGCAGTGTTTGTAATTTCAGAGAATAGGTAATATTTTGATGAATAAAGAATATATATTTATTCATATTGTATTTCTTATACAATAAGCATTGTAAATATTTATGTATATTTATTTCTGATTATTCAGCTCTAGCTGAAAGTATTTTCCTTGAAAATGTCTTTGTTATCAATCATTTCCCTATTTATTACAATTGTCAATTGCTCTGTCTCTATTTATTGACTATAGTGAATATAATGAGCATAATTTTGTATATTTCTGTTCTAGTTATAAATTGTACAAAAAAAGTTTGCTTTTTAGTACAAAAATGACTTATCTCAGATATTTCAATTTAAAATTTTAAAATAAAAGGTTGGCCATTATTATTATTATATGGCCATTATTAGTCTTGTCTATTATTAAGTAGTTAGTTGGTATTTCATTCACAACTATCCTTTTATTCATAAAACTATAAAAGAAAATGTTTATGTAAAGAATATGTTTGTGTGTTTGTAAAAACCAAGCTGGTTGTAGTGACACAGCACACAGGCCTATCAGTGGGTGGCTGACATGAATTTGTGTGTTCAAAACAGTCTGGGCTACACTGAGAAACTATAAAGAGAGTGGAAGGGAAATGCAGAGGGTGGGATAAGAGAGATTTTAGTCTCTGTATAAACTTCCTCAGTCCACACTGTTTCATCAGGTCCCAGCTAAAGCTCTCCATGAACCTTAGACCACTGATAATATAGTCAGGGTTAATACCTCAGAAGATTCTTTTCAGAAAATACTTTCCTTCCACTGAGTTTGGCAGCATTACAAAATGCTTACAATATATTTATTGCTGTTGTAAAGTGTCAAGTTAGCTGTATCAGTTGGACACTGAAGCATAGTTCAGAAACTGTGTCAGAAGACAGATACGACTTTGCTTTTAAGGACAGAACTTTTTAAATCTATTTTTAAAAAGGAGTCTTTTCTCATTTTACATACCAATCCCAGTTCCCACTCCCTTCCCTCCTCCTGTTCTCCTCCCACCTTCCCTCCTACCCCATGACCCATCCACTCCTCAGAGAGGGTAAGGCTTCCCATGATAAGTCACCAAAGTCTAGCACGTTGCTTTGAAGCAGGACCAAGGCCTTACTATGTCTAGGCTGAGTAAGGTATCCTTCCAAAGAGAATGGGTTTCAAAAAGCCAGTACAAGCAGTAGGGATAACCTGATCTCATTGTCAGTGGCCCCACAGTCTGCCCCAGCCATGCAACTGTCACTTGCATTCAGAGAGCCTAGATTGGACCTATGCCTATTCCCCTGCTGTGAGGCCAGAGTCAGCTTTCCATTGCTATGGGAGATTTAACTTAGGACAAGAAAGATTTATTTTGACTCACAGTTCCAGTGGCTGTGATATGTGATTAGTTGATCTCATTGTCAGGCTCTCAGCAAGATAGCACATCATAACAAAGACACATGGTGGAGCCAAACCACTCATCACATAGCCAGGAAATAAAAGATAGGAGGTCCCAACAACCTCTTCAAATGCTTATCTCAAGTGAGCTGAAGATTTCCCAGTAGACCCCACTTTTTAAAGGTTCTACCATCTCCCAATAAGGCCTTGCTGGGCACCAAGCCTTTACTAACTAGGATTCTAGCACTAACCTCCTCATCTGTAATGGAGGTAATAACTCATGGGGCTCTTGTAAGAACAATGAAATGAGGCACATGATCCTCAACACATGCTGTGCTCATGTTACTGACCTGTAAGCAAAATAGAGTGATCCTTAATCCTGGTTTATCTGAAACGTCAACATAATTTATAGCTCAAAGTAAAGCCTAAAATTGAGCCACTTACTCTGTTTGGCAGGTCTTCCAAAAGATAACAAATATTAATTAATAAAATAAAGTGCACAGCAGGCAATACTAAATGTATTCTAAGGAAAGTTTGTGCCGTATCATTAAAATAGGTCTTTTTATATGAGAAAGTTTCCAAAGGTTTTAAGATCATAAAAGTTTCCTGTTGGTCTATATCCTCATCAATAAACCTCTTAGTCCTTTAAAAACCCTGAGAAACTTTTAGGAAATGTTACAAACATCAAGATGAAGTATAACTAATTCTTCGAAATGCTGTGTGCTCACCAGTTACTCGGTTTCTGAAAACCTTCATGTTTATTCAAACTTTCCTTGAACTCTCATTGACTCAGCACTAGTGTCTAGTGTACATTGTGCAAAGACCCTATACAGAGAACATAAGTGCTTTAAAAGTTATTAATTGCATGTCCAGTGTATGATTCTGCTTTGCTCCTCCTCTGACATTTTGCAGCATTCAGGGAGACTGCAGACATTGGTTTTCACGCTCCTTCTCTCACAGGTGTAAAGTGCTCCTCGGCTGTGACATGCAGCAGCACCTTCCAGCCTGGCATTCAGTAAATATGTAGAAACTGGAAATGCACTGTCCTCAAAAGTTTTAGATTGGGAGAATATATTTATTTTCATTTAAAAATTACTTAATGCTGCTGGGTGGTGGTGGTGCACACCTTTAGTCCCAGCACTCGGGCGGCAGAGACAGGCACTTCTCTGTGGGTTTCAGGCCAGGCTGGTCTACAGAGCAAGTTCCAGGGTGGGCTCCAAAACTACACAGAGAAACTGTCTCAAAAGAGAGAAGGGGTAGGGGTGGGGGAGAATAACATTAGTTATGCTATCTAAGATAATGATTAAATTATTTGGGGGACATATGTTAAAACTTGTATGGTTTTCTGCTTTCATTTTTAATAATGGTAAAATGCTAGTCAAAAAATCCATTATAACTAAAGCTCTGTTTTTACAGTGTAAAAGGATCTTGAGACCAAAATACTTTACAGCCTCTGTCCTTTTGAATATACCATCCAGTTCTATCTTTAGTTCTCATGGCCACTCTTTGTTTTGCAATGCTGAGGTTCTGGAGCCTTATGTATACTAAACCAGTTCTACAAGAACAGTTCTCTGGTCTGGTCTGGTCTGGTCTGGTCTGGTCTGGTCTAGTCTGGTCTGGTCTGTATGGCTTGTATAATTTATGGTAGCGTTGAATTCACTATATAGTCCAGGCAGAAAGAACAGAATCTCCCTGCCTCAGCCCATCTGTGTGCATGCTCATGACAAATATTTCATACTTTATATTCCTGTTTATCTTTTATGCCATAAAAGCTATATCTTTTTTTAATAAAATTCACCATGTTATGTGTTTGTCAGTAATCATTTTTTTTATTCTTTACCTAAATTGTGTCTTAATTCACAGGTTGAAAGCACAAAGAAACAGTATGAAGTACTGATTTCACAATTAAGGGAAGAACTTTCAGCTCTTCAGTTGGTATGTTCGAAAACCTTGTTAGTATTTTCCTCCAAATATTACTTGCTTTAAAGACCAGTATATATGTTATTGGGAATTCATTTGTTCCATATACGTTTGATAAGAATGACCTAGGCTAAACAAAGTAAAAATCCACAGAAATGCTTTGTGTTGTGTTTGGATTGTGGTAGATAAAGTAGAACAGGTAGCATTCAACACATTTCATTTGTCATTGATAGAACACAGGGCCACTAGACCAGCCAGCTGCAGCTCCTGCTGGATGCTGGGTTGATCTGAAAGGCCAGGAAGGAAGAAAAGTTATATATATATATATCAGTGGGAAACAAGAAAGATAGTAAAGCTTCCTACAAATTAATAAATAAGGATGAGTAGGCAAAGGGGGGCAGTGAGGAAAGGAGTTTTGTTTGACAAGAGATTGGAAATTCAAATTTAACTTGAAGGTTTAATGAAATTAAATGTAATAACTGTTCCCAAAAGATCAAAACACAAAATGTCTAGGAATTAGAAAGATACTTACAACTTCACAAATACACCTCTTCTGAATCCTTCCATCACTTTTAATCTGGTATAAAATTTTATCAATATTTTATGTATTCTGATAAATAATGTGCCTTAGTGTATGTTCAACACATCACCGTTTGTGCAACCGTGCTCCTTCCAGGAAAACATCTCCAAATAGATTGTAACGCTCCAAGGTGGGGGTTTCCTAGCAGCCTTAGCTTTTCCTATTGCACAGAATACTTTAAAGTAAATAATCATCACAGAATAATATTTAAATACCTCTGGAAAACTACAAACCATGTAATGTACTTTAGCAAACTTTATATGTAGAGGTCCGGGATGTAACAACCAGGGATGGTTACTTTCTGCTTACTTAGTTTCACTTGTAGTTATGATGTAGGAACCTTTGTAAAAGCAATCTGATGCAGAATGGCCTATTAGTCATCTAAAATTGTGTCTTATTATTTTGTTTGTTCTCTTTCATAGATTGCCAAAAACAAAACTTGCAGCTTTAAGAAAGAAAAGAAAAATAGCTTTTTATCAGAGATCACTTTAATGAATTGTAAATGGTATAAAAACAAGTATTTTTATTCTGTTTTCCAAAAAGAATGATAATTGTCTAGGGATCCTTAAAACAATGGTATAACGACCAAATCTATATAAAACTCACTATTCTGTAAAAAACTATTTTGGCAATTTCATTATGTAACAAATGTATTTTATACCATATATCAAACACTTTTCTATCTGAATGATTTTTCTAAAGATCTATAACATCTACTATCACATTTATTCTGTGGGAAAATTGTGCTGTCTACTTAAAAAGCATTTTAAATATTAAAGGTAATTTTAAAAATATGGAGATTTCTAGGGTGGATTAGAAATGCCCTTCTAGAAATAGAAAAAGACAAGATCTCCTGAGTAATTGGAAGCATGGAGACCATGGGAGAAGGTAGAAGGGGAGGGGAGAGAAAGGAAGGGTAGCAGAGAAATATATATAGCTCAATAAAAACAATTTTAAAAAAAGAAATACCCTTTTGAGGCTGGGCGTGTAGCCTAGTTGGTAGAATGTATGCCTAATATGTGGGAAACGCTGAGCACCATGTAAATTGTGTGCTGATGCACATCTGTGAACCCAGCAGTTCAAGATAATTCTAGGCTATGTAGAGTTTATATCCTGAATGAGAATACTTCTCATCAGGAGTACTGCACATCAGGAGAGCATTAAACAATGTATTTCAGATACTGAAAGTGAGTAATTGCCAGCAAGCTTACTGTATCTAGCAATGTACATTTTAAAATTAATGGAGAAATAAAGACCTTTCATGACAATGACAAACTAAAGCAGTTCATGACCACCAAGACAGTGTTGCAGAAGATGCTAAAAGGAAGCCTGTACGGAGAGGAGGAAAAACCACACTCATGAGAACACGGAAAGAATGCATTTCGTAAGAGAAATAAACAAAAGTATGAAAGAATTAGCCCTGTCCAACTAAGGAAACCACCAGAGATCATCATGTGCATCAGGACAAAGAAAATAGTAATGGTCAAACCAATTAGAAAACAAAACTAGAGGAATTAGCAACTCAATAATAATAACCCTAAATGCAAATAGTTATAATTCCCCAATTAAAAGATTCAGACTAGCTATAAATTTCTTTAAGAAACTTCTTACTGGCAAAGACAGACCAGAAGTGAATGAATGGTAATTGATATACCCAGTGAGTGGAATTGAAAAATTAGCAGGGCGAAGTAATAATGAACTCTGACCTAAATAGCTTTCTAGCAACAACTACACAGGAGGGATAAAGAAGACCACTTCATATTAATAAAGGGAAGAAATTATCAATAAAATAAGTAAAGAAACAGGACTTCCAGTTTCATAACTGACATCAGATGTACAGTGTACTTATAATGGAGGACTTCCCCACTTCTTTCATATCGACGTTAAGTCTTCCAGACTAAAATTTGCTGAAGAAACTTCAGTGTTGAAGCACACTATAAATTAGGCAATGCACTTCTATAGAACACTGTTTTCTCAGCAGCCTATGGAGTTTTCTCTAAAATAGGTCACAGTGTAGTTCATAAACAGCTCTTTAAAAAAATATAGAATAAAGCAAAGAAAACCAGCCTCCAAATCACAATCCCAGAGAACCTAGACAACAATGAGGACCCTAAGAGAGACATACATGGATCTAATCTACTTGGGAAGTAGAAAAAGACAAGATCTCCTGAGTAAATTGGGAGCATGGGAGAGGGTTGACGGGGAGGGGAGAGGCAGGGAGGGGAGCAGAGAAAAATATATAGCTATATAAAAACAAAAAATACAGAACAATTGAAGTAATTCTTACTACTTATTAAGTCATAGAATAGTAAAACTAGAAATCAGTAGCAAGGGAAATTATAAAAATAACCCTACAGATATGTAAGTACACCATTGAAGAAGCTGTAGGAGAACTTTAAAGCTTCCTAGAATCAGGTGAATATGGAATCCGTCTTGTGAGAACCTATAGAATACAGTAAAGACAGCTAGTTCTAAGAAACGTGCAGCTGGTTTTCAGTCTCCAAATGAAAAAGTGTAGGCTATCTTTTTTTAAATAAGCTCTATTTTTTTGAATAGGAACTTCTGTGCTATCAGTTTTAACATTTGCTAACCTTTGCTAACCCTTTATAAAGTATGATTTTAGAAATATTTCACAAATGCCAGAAAAATTAGTATATGTTCAAAAGCAGGTATATCAGTGGTCATCAAAAGAACTTTTAATAAAAATTTATACTGTTCATTTTAATATTATAGTGCATTTTAATAGAACTAGTATGACAGTATGTTAATCATAAGTATTACAACTTTTCTGTTTCATTTTATTCATTTTTAACCCAGGCTAACCAAATACTGTTGGACCCATCATCACTTGGTGTCAGAGGAAGATGGCTTAAGTAGGGGCATAGATATATGCATAGCCATTCTTTTCTTTTATAGTCCACTTCCTGGATCTGGAAGTATGATCCAGCATTGTTATTAATATATCATCCTACTTTGCTTTCTGTTGCTGTGATAAAACACTGACAGAAAACAACTAGAAGAAAGGACTTTATTTTAGTTTATAGGTTACAGTCCATCATCCAGGGAAGCCAAGGCAGGAGCTCAAGAGAGGAACCTAGAGGCAGGAAATGAAGCAGAGAGCATGGAAAAATGCTGCTTACTGGCTCTTTATGATTTATTCCGCCTGCTTTCATATACAGCCTAGGACCATGTGCCTCAGGGTGGCACCACCCACAGTTTGCTGGTCATTAGTCAAGAAAATGCTCCAGCATAGACCTGCGCACAGGCCAATCTGATGGAGGCAGTTTCTCAGTTGAGAGTCCTTCTTTCCAGGTGACTCCAGTTTTGTCAAATTAGTGGTGGCAGGTGCCTTTAATCCCAGCACTCAGGAATCAGAGGCAAGTGGATCTTTAGTACCAGAGCAGGTTCCAAAACTACACAGAGAAACCCTGTCTAGAAAAAAAAAATTGCAAGCAGTAAGGTAGACCTTTTGTATAATTATGAAAATGAGTATCACTCGTAGTGTACTGTCAGCAAAGCAGTTTCACAGTAAAACTATGCTTATTTACAAATAAGTAGAAAAATAATTATGAAGAACTCACTGGTTGATTCTTGTGCTTTTAATATCTTGGCAAAATAATTGATTAATTGATATACTTGTTAAATTACTAAATAAAATGTTTGACATGTAAAGTCTTTTAAGGGTAAATGTTTCAATGTTTTATGCTCATGTTAATAGATTTCCCTAGATATTAGGTATTTTATGAAGGAAAACTTGTTAGAATTTTGCACTTCCTATGCCAGATGTTTTCCTTGAGATATTGTGACACTGTATGGTTCCTTTTGCAAGATAATTTGAGGATATTATATGAAGAGAGAACCTGAGCCGGGCGGTGGTGGTGCACACCTTTAATCCCAGCACTCGGGAGGCAGAGGCAGGCGGATCTCTGTGAGTTCGAGACCAGCCTGCTCTACAGAGCTAGTTCCAGGACAGGCTCCAAAGCCACAGAGAAACCCTGTCTCGAAAAGAGAGAGAGAGAGAGAGAGAGAGAGAGAGAGAGAGAGAGAGAGAGAGAGAGAGGAGAGAGGAGAGAGAGAACCTGTAACATCCAAAATATAGGCTCAGTTTTTTCTCCCATGAGTACCCCAGCCTCTACCTCTTACATATTCTGTTAATTCCTTGGTATCTTAGAGCTGAAGGCAATTTCTGAAATCCTGGGATAGGTCACTCTTTGAAGTTTGACAGTTACTGTGCCCAGTAGTTATCCTAACTTAGTTGTAAGTACTATGTACTTACGTAAGACTGTGGCCTTACTGAGTTGATGAGGCAACTGAAGTATTCTTTTTATGAACAAACCATTTTACTTTTCCACTTTTTCTCACCTTAATGTTTTACCAGATATATTTATTTGCATTATGACTTGATTTTATAGGACTGTGATGAAAAGCAAGGTCAAATCGATCGAGCCATTAGAGGGAAAAGAGCTGTGGAAGAAGAACTCGAGAAGGTAAGAAGGAAGTACTCTTCTCACACTGCTGCCTGCTCTGTTCCCACTGGCCTTATCAGTACTCGGGACAGTGTCTTTACTCACATACAACTGAAGCCTCATTTAAATACTTACATCACCTACATCCATTTCTTTCTAAGAATACCCATATTCTTTGAACTTCGTACTTCAAGGTATAACTTTCTTAGGTATCTATTTTTATTGCCTCATCCCAAAAGTACTATTCATTTCTTCTTTTTTTTTTAACTTTATACCAACTTACTGAGGCTAGACTGGAGTATGATAAGTATATATAACCAAAATATTATAGGATTGCTATGAATTTTACCTTTATATTGTGTGTGTGTCTGTGTGTGTGTGCGTGCACGCATCTATATGCATGTGTAGGTGTGCATGTGTGTATAGAGGCCAGAGGTTGACATTAGTGTCTTCCTCAGTCTTTCTCCACCTTATTTTTTGAGATAGAGTCTCACTGAAACTGTAAGTTAGCAACTCAGCTGGAGAGTTGGCCAGCAACCCCAGAAATAACACAAATCTCTCACCCTAGAGCTGGGATTACAGGCACTGCCTCCATAGCCAGCTTTTATGTGTGTGTTTATACAACAGGCAGTTTACTGACTGAGTTATTTCTCTGCCCCGGATTTTTACCTTCTAAGAATGTAGTAATATGGGCTGTAGAGATCAGTGGTTAAGGGTACTGGCTGCCCTTCCAGAGACCTGGGTTCATTTGCTAGCACCATGTGAAGGCTCACAATCATCACTCCAGTTCCTGGGGATCCAATGCCCTGTTCTGACCTCTTTAACAAAATACACAACCCTACTTGCAGGCAAACACTCATGCACATAAGATACAGTATTTTTAAAGAATATAATAAGTAGATAAAATACCCTAATGATATTTGAAATAAAAACTTCATCTTAAAAACTAGTTGCATGCTTTTTCATTAGCGGTGAATGTCCCGTTGTTGTAAAGTGTCTTGATAAAGAAAGGACAGGCAAATATAAGCACTCATGTTGAAGGTGCTATGTTAGAGACTTGCATAAAAAGGCTAAGTAACTTTACACAGTGTTAAAAAAAACACTAAGCAATGAAGTCAGGATTTGATTTTGATAGGCTAACTCCATGGCATTCAAAGATTGTGATCTAGCCATGTTGTCAAAAATCATGACAAAATCAGGTAGTAAAACAGTAATTTACAAAGCAGAGCAGCTTCATTTTAGAAAATAAGCATATGCAAATCTGCTCCAAGGTAGACACTTGCAGATGTCCTTCATGTCATGTAAGTTCTTTTTAGAATGCTACCAGCTGCATATCAGACTTCAGGATGGATTTTTTTAATATTACATGGCCAAGGTTATAGTAGTGCAGTGGAAAACGTAGAAGGCGTAGCAACTAATTCTCTATTATCCACACAGCAGTGAGCCAAGGCCATAGCACTGTAGGACTGCAGTCCCAGCAAATAGTGCGGACATACTGCTATTCCACCTCTATGGGAAGGTTGGCGCAGCCTTACCAGTGGGACAACATAGGTGGCCCAGTCCAGCAGTCTTCTTGAGAGGGCAGTTAGATGAACTGTTTGTCTGAAAGTGTGATCTGGACCTCAGGGCCTGCTAGGTAGTTAGCCCATGTGCTGTAAGAGGAGGCACAGGCTCTAGCTGACCTGCCCCTGAGAAAGGTAACTCCGATCTTAGCTGTGTTCTTGTCCTGGTAACCCAAAGCAAAGTTCTAGAACTTTAAGATCTACTAGTTACCCTAAAACACACTCTTACTTTTGAGTACTTTGGTAGAAGATTTTTTTTAAGAATATTTACTAAATAATTACTACACTTTTTTTTTCTTTCTTTCTTTGATGTTTTAGGAAGAAACTTGGGGCCTTGTACATTCTTAGCAAGGGCGCTGCTCTACCATTGAGCTGCATACCCAGCCCGACCACTAGTTGTTTTTAAATTGACATTTAAAGCATTTTTTTTTGAAGTTTCAGCAGCTGTTTTACATTTCTGTATTAGTTGAATAGTTTATAGTGAGCATGATTAGTTGTCAGTTTGTAGCATTTTATTTTGTGAATGAATCAATGATGGGTTTCTTTAAAAGATATCTTACCTTAGGAAAAGGTGACCACACAGTCGTGGCTATTTCTCAGCATCATTTATTTACCGAGATAATTTCTTCCTATAAGGTAATGTTTATAAGCCTCTTCCTCAGATTTACCGTGAAGGCAAACAGGATGAAGGTGATTACAGAAAACTGGAAGAAATGCACCAAAGATGTCTTGCTGCAGAGCGTTCAAAAGATGATCTTCAGCTAAGACTAAAGAGTGCAGAAAATAGAATAAAACAACTTGAAATTAAGTAAGTTTTCTTTTGGACTTTCTATTAATATGGGTTTTGGTGAATTATTTATCTTTTAAGAGAACTTATAAAAACATCCAAGTATGTTTTTATAATTTCTATTTTTAATAATTTTAAGTTGGTGTACAAAATAATGCATTAGTGATGGCATTTTCATACTCATGAGCCATACACTTGTAATTTGTTCCCCTCCCACACTGCTCTCATTTATGTCCTTACCTACTGTATGGTTGGTTTCCTTCCCACACTAAATAGTCCCTGTTTCTACTTTCCTCTCCCTTCCCTAATATATCCTCCTAGCACCCTCAGGGTTCCATTCCATCTTACATACACACTCACACACAAACACATACGCCATATATACACAGATTATCTTTTCTGGTCTGGCTTGCTCGACTTGGTATGATGATTTCCAGTTGCATCAGCTTTCTTGCAAATATCATGATTTCATTTATCTTTCTTGCTGAATTAAATGCTGCTGTATCTCTGTAAATTTTATCCATTCGTCTGTTGGTGAACATCTAGACTGGTTCCATTCCTTCCTGGCTATTGTTAGTAGAGATGCTAAGAATGTGCCAGTGTCTCTGTGGTATGTTGATTTAGAGTATTGTATGTGAGTACATATGCGTGTATATGTCTCCAACTTAGATTATATAGGCTTTTTTTTTTTAATTTGGAGACTTCCATGCTGATTTCCATAGTGGTTGCACAAGTTTACATTTCTTCCATCAGTGACTAAGGACTCTTCCTTCCTCACAGCCTTGCCAGCTTTTGTTTGATTTTCTTGGGTGAAAAGGAAATCACAAAGCAATTTTGATTTGCATTTCCCTAATGGCTAAGGATGTTGAATATTTGTCCATATATTTACTGACCATTTCTGTTTTTGGACATCAATTTAGTTCATTAACGAACTTACTGATCAGATGTTAGTTTTGTGTTAAGTGTTTTTGTTTCATTTTCAAGTTCTTTTATGTATTCTACATTCTAATCCTCTATTAGATAAATTGTTAGCAAAAATGTTTTTACCCAGTCTGAAGCCTGGATTTCACTTATAGTTTATTTTTCAGAAGCTTTTTTATGCCATGTAATCTCTTAGATCAATTCTTAGTGTTATTTCTTAATAATAAGGCATTTTTCAGATAATCCTTGCAATGCCTATATCTTGAGGTATTTTCTATATGTTCTTCCCTAATGATTTTAAACATTATAAAGTCTTTACTTTTAATTGATTTTTGTACAAAGTGGAAGAAAAGGACCTAATTTCTTTCTACTACATGTGACTTTCCCAGCCCCATTTATTGAAGAGGATTTTTGGTTTGGTTTCTCTCTCTCTCTCTCTCTCTCTCTCTCTCTCTAGTATGATTATGAAACCTTCGTCAAGAACCAGGGTCATTTCTGGGTCATCTATTCTATTCTTTTTATTTGTATTTCTGTAGTACTTACATGATGTAGTACTTACATGCTGTAGTACTTACATGCTGTTTTTCTTTTTGTGGCTATGCAACATAACTTGAAATAAGATACTGTGACACTTCTAGCATTGTTCTTTTTGCTTAGGATTGCTTTACTACTCAGTGTCTTTTGTGCTTCATGAACTTTAGGATTTTTTTTCTAGTTCTGTGAAGAATGCCAGTGTAATTTTTATGGGGATTACATTGAATATGTAGGTATATTACTAGGGGTTTTTATGGGAATTGTTTCCTTATGTTTTCTCAGTGCTTGTTATATATCAGTATATTAAAAAGCTACTGATTTCTCTCATTGACTTTTGTATCATGATGCTTTATTGAAAGTGTTTTTCAGTTCTATGTTGAGTTGTTAGGTTCCTTTTTGTATCACACCATATATCTGCAAATAGAAATAACTTAGCTCCTTTGTTTTCTACTTGTATCCTTTTTATTACTTTCTCTTGTTGCTGCTATAGTTAAAACTCCATTCACTACATTGAATAAGTGGAGAGAACAGACACTTTTTCTCATTCCTGATTTTTGAGGAAATGCATGAAGCCTTTTCCCATTTACTATAACGTTGTCTATTTTATTGTGGTTAGCTTTTACTATTTTGAGGTATGATTCTTGAGTTCTTGGTTTTTTTGTCAAGGCATTTTGAACTTCGTTGAAAGCCTTTCTGCATCCATTGAGATGATTACCTCATTTCCATTCTTGAATTTATAATTGTAATGTATTACATTTGTAGATAAACATTCCAAATCATGCTTTTATCCTAAAAAGAAGCCGACTTTGTCATGTTGAATGTTCTTTTTGATGTTTGGTTGAATTCACTTTGTAAGTATTTCATTGAGACCTTTTAGATCCTTCTTCAGGAATAAAATTATCCTACAATTTCTTCTTTGGTAATGTCTTTATCTGATTTTAATATCAGGTAATACTGACTTTGTAAATGAATTTAGTACCATTCTTTCCTTTTCCATCTTATACAATAGTTTGAGGAACATTGGTAATAGTTCTTTAAACTTCTATAGAATTCAGTTTTTTTAATTGAGAAAATTTTTATTACTGGTACATTTTCATTACTACAGATCTATTGTAGTTATCTAAATTCTGGTTTAATTTTGGTAGGTCATATCTAGAAATTTTTCTAGACTTTTCAAATTCATTAGAACATAAACTTTTCAAAATATGCCCTAGTGAAGCTCTAAATTTCATTGTGTTTGTTGTTGTCTCCCTTTTAAACTCTAATTTTATTACTTAGATATTCTGACAACACACAAGCTCACAGAAATTGAACATTATTTCATGAGTCATCAAAGAAATCAGGATAGAAGTAGAAAATTTTTCTAGAATTGGATGGTAACAAAAACACAGCATTTTCTCTGTCTTTGAATTAGTCTGGTTAAGCATTTGTAAATGCTAGTTTGTCTCTGAGCTTATTGGCGTATGTTAAGTTGCATAGTTGATATAAAAACATTTTTCTCATATGCTTGCTATGCATGAAGTTTTTCCATGAGTATAAACAGAAGACAGCATTTTAAGACTTATATTTATTAGTGTCTTAGTTACCATTCTATTGCTGTGAAGAGACACCATGACCAAAGCAACTTATAAAAGAAAACATTTAATTGGGGTCTTGCTTACTGTGTCAGAGGGTTAGCTCATGATCAGCATCATGAGACGCCTGGTGTCAGGCAGGCAGACATGGCACTAAAGCAGTAGCTGGAAGCTACATTCCCAGGCAGGAAGCAGAGAGAAAGAGCACTAACTGGACCCCATGGGCTTGTGGAATTTCAAAGCTCATCCCCAGTGACACAGCTCCTCAGCAAGACTATTATACCTCCTGATCCTTCCCAAACAATTCTACCAGCTCAGGATTAAACATGCAAATATACGAACCTATACAGACCACTCTCATCAAACCACCACATTACATAATGATGCTTCTTTTCTGTGTGACTTCTTTAAAATTATGGAATGAAATTTATCTAAAGGAGTTCTGTTTTGCATACTTTCATACTGATTCTCCTCAGTGTGAATTCATTTTTATTGTTTTCACATCCTGCATATGGGTTGTGAGCAAAGGTAAAAAGCTTTTCCATATTTCTGACATGTAAAATCATCTCTTTAGAATTTTAAATGTCCCATAAAGGACACGTCCTAGTCCATCTTTACATTAGACTTCTTCTTAACATCAGTTCTTTTGCTTTGCTGAGATGATGGGCAATCTCAAAGCGTCCAGCTATCTCCACAGCCATGTGCTTCTCTCCAGCATCATTTCTTCTGTCTTCCCCAACCCACAGGGAAGCAGTGGAGCTTTCCATGCCCTCCACATGCATAGGCTGGTTTTTGTTTTTTCTCCAGGCTATCTTTTCATGTATCCTCCGGGTATACTTGATAAATATTTGCTTATGATCACTTCATTCACAGGATTCCTTTTAAGTGTGCATTCTTTTGCCCAGCTCTAATTTCAGAAATGCTAACTTCACTGTTTCTCAAATTTCCATTAATCTCTAATGATCCCTCTTTTTTTCCCCTGTTTTGCTGCTGCTGGTGGTACATATATGGACTTCTCTTAGAAGGCTCACACATAATTGCTTCTGTTGCTAATGTCCTTTTATGACAAGTGCCTTTATATACTATTTCATTGAGAAGCTGATTACTGAAACTTTACTGTATAAAAAGAAAATATAGCTACATGTGTTATAGGAATGAATGACTTTATATAGAATTAAAACTCTATGTTATAGAAATGAATGATTTCATATAGAACTTAAAACTTAGAAGAATGTGGGAAGAACTTGAAAAGCAAAAGTCTAAACAGGACAGAGATAAAGATCAGAGCCAACCATAAGCATTGGAAAGTTAGGGTTGGAATAGAACCATAAGCTGTGGTTCATGGTTGTAAAACTGCCATCAGATTTAAACCGGGCGGTGGTGGCGCACGCCTTTAATCCCAGCACTCACTAGGGAGGCAGAGGCAGGCAGATCTCTGTGAGTTCGAGGCCAGCCTGGTCTACAAGAGCTAGTTCCAGGACAGGCTCCAAAGCTACAGCGAAACCCTGTCTCGGAAAAAAAAAAAAAAAAAAAAAAAAAAAAAAAAAACTGCCATCAGGTAAAAACTGTTTGTGCATATTAGGAATTTCTCTCCTTATCAGTTATTTTAACCAGTAATTGAGATGTTTGGCTTTTTATTTTGAAACTAGGTCTCATGCTATAGCATATAGCTTGGAACTTACTATGTAGCCCAGGCTGGCTTCAAACTCAAGGTAATCCTCCTGCCTCAAGTTTCCAAGTACTGGAATAAATAACCATGCCCAGCAATATTTCTATTAAGCCATCTCAATATTAGTAGCATTGCATATTTCCTATGACAACTAGAAACCGGAGTATGTTCAGAGTGACTGGTTCTCTGGAATTGAAAGATGGAAATTTCAGAAAATGGGAATGAAGTTAACAGTATATTGATAGAAACATAAATATTTAAAGAATACCTGATCTAATAATCCATGGCTGAAAATTTCAAGAAATCAGTCTATTAATCTGTGCTAAAATAAGCTAAGGTGTTTAACAGGGAATATGCAGATTGTTTTTACTTTAATTTGTGATGTGGTCAGCTGTGTTGTGTTTTTCTTTGGTACTAACATTAAGTAAAAGTTTGATTAGCAGCTATTTCATCTGCTAACTATTGGATTCACATTGTTCTCTTGATGTAGCAATTCTCAACATTAGGGAAAAGTTTGAAAGAAATTTCACATTGATTTTCTAAATGAGTAATAGCAGGTCAGCTTGTCTGTCCTTACTTAAAACTGTTAAATTAGATGATTTTACCGGGTATTACATACATTTTGAAACCACATTAGACTAAAGTAAAAAGAGGGCTATGGATCTAGCCCTGGCTCAATCTCCACCACCATGTTGAAGTGAAAAGAAGTAAGTCAGAATAGAAAAGTCTAAATTGTAAAATGTACACATTTTAGTCTTTTTGTTTTGTTTCATTTGTTTAAAAAAAAAACAGTTCCTCAGAAGAAATATCACGTTCCCATGAAATGATCCAGAAACTTCAAACTGTACTGGAGTCTGAGAGGGAGAACTGTGGCTTTGTCAGTGAGCAAAGGCTGAAGCTTCAGCAAGAAAATGAGCAGCTGCAGAAGGAGACTGAGGATTTGAGAAGAGTTGCTCTGGAGGCTCAAAAAAAAGCAAAATTAAAGGTATTTTCAAAATTAGTTAAATGTATTCTTGGGAAAAATCAAGGTATAGAGAATATTAATTAGAGTTCCAGTAAAGCATTCTTCAGGTTGTGTGTGTGTTTGTGTGTGTGTGTGTGTACACGCACATGTGTGCACCTTCTTAACAGATAATATGAAATCCTAATTCAAATTATTGACCAGTGGTACTTGGCAAGGTTCCACAACCTGATTGTCTTCTCTTTATATGCGCAATTAAAAAATAGTTATTTTCTAAACACACAACAAGCTAATCTTCCTGCCAAAGTAACTTAAGCAGCACTAGCAGAACTGTAGCTTAGACAGCTTTATAGTCTGCCATCCTCTCTCCTCCATTAGCTTCCCAGACACTGAATTTCTTCAAGATCAGTAAGGATGTTCCATCAGTTTTCTCTCCGAGCCCCTCCTAGCTAGCTAGTATAAAAACATCAACAAGAAGACTGCACAGGGCAAAAGTCTCATCTTAGAAAAATCCTTGCCTTTGATCCCCTTCAGGCATGTTCAGGAGACACGAGGTGTTCCATCAGCATCTCTTCACCTTCCTCCATTCCATGACATTTTTGTCAATGGCACTAGGTGTTTATAATAAAGATCCTTACCTTCCAGGCCCACAGTGAGGATAAAAAGTACCATTGTTGCACTCTGCTTATTGCTGCTGCAAAGAATCATAAGATGTCATGTTCTGACCTAATTCCTACCAACATGCAGTTATTGACTATTTTATTGCAGATAACAAAGGCTGTGGGCATCCATAAGAGTATGAAATCTGAAAGAAATAGTCATGTATCTTACAAAGATATTTTTACTCTTAAATATATGAAAAGGAAACATATCAGTATAAAGCTACAGTAATTAAGACAGTATTGTCGACATTAGAATAATCATATTGATAAATAGCACAAAATAAGTTCAGAAATAAATTTTAATGATGACCTAATTTTGTAGCAGAAGCACACTGTGGTTCAAGAGGAAAAGAATTATCCTTATAATACTAATTCAGTTAGATCCATATTCAAAAGATAAAATGACATTTCATCATATCATATATGTAAAGTAATTGTGCTACCTTACAGTAAAATATATGTGCACACAGCTTTAATCCCAGCACTTGGGAGGCAGAGGCAGGTGGATCTCTGAGTTTGAGGTCTGTAGAGTGACCAGAGCTACACAGAGAAACCCTGTCTCCAAAAATTAAAATAAGTAAATAAATTATAGTCCATGGTAGTTGTGGTTTCATTAAAATATACATAGATTTCATTTGTGGTGGAGACCAGTTGTAAGTTTAACTGCTTACTTGGGTGCTTCGCCCCAAGGTTTCTAAATCTAACAAGCATAGTGGATTACTCTTTTTGTATATGCCATTGGCTGACACAGCTCCTAGAATTCTGAAAGGAAAATGACTGTTCCTTTTACTCCTCAGGTCAGTACAATGGAGCATCAGTTCTCAATAAAGGAGCATGGGTTTGAAGTTCAGTTGAGAGAGATGGAGGACAGTAATCGGAACACTGTTGTTGAACTGAGACATCTATTGGCAGTTCAACAAAAGACAGCCAATAGATGGAAAGAAGAAACAAAGAAACTTACCGAAAGTGCAGAAATGAGGATCAGCAATCTAAAGTAGGTCCACTCTTAGTAGTTGCTTGATACTTGTTTTACAAATCAACAAAGTAAGTTTACTATTAATAATTGTTGAGCAATTGATGTTTTACAGAAGAAATGATTTTAACCTGTAGTTTACTGTTCTGCTCTATTTGTTTTGTTTTGTTTTTTAATGTATAATTTTGAAGAGTGGGTGACAGGTCTCTCAGTAAAGTACTAGCAAGCATGGGGACCTAAATTGGATCCCTAAAACCCACATTTAAAAAAAATAGTTATGGTGTCGTGTGCACCATATTTATGGAGAGACAGATAGATACTTGGCCTCACCGTGGGCCAGCCATCCTTGCCTGCTTACTTAGTTCCTAATCAGTGAAAGATTGTCTCAAAAAAAAAAAAAATAGTAGATGACACCCATAGTTGTCCTCTGCCTGCACAGACAAACACACATACTACACAACCAGGAGTGTAAGTCTGGATGTTATATTTTTACTCAGAAAACATTCACTGAAGTGCTATAAAATATTCAGCATGGGGCCCATGAGACATCTCAGTGGCTAAACTGCTCGCAACCCAATCATAATCCCCAGCACGCAAGTAACAAGCTAAGTAAGCTGGTGGTGTGCACCAACACTGAGAAGAGGGCATCCTGGGCTTGGCCCTCCCCAGCCAGCCAAATCAGTAAGAACCAGGTTCACTGAGAGATACAGAGTAACTGAGGAAGACATTAGATGTTGACCTCTGACCTCTACATGGACACATACCTACACACAGAAGCATACATGTATACACTGCACAGAAATACATTCTAAAGAGAAAGAAAACATGGCATTATAAATCAAATAAAGTACCTTGTTTTTTATTAATTTAATGAACATTCCACATAATACAGTGGTTTGGGGAGGACACCGAAGCATAGAATCTTACGTGTATGTATTTAACACATGTAACGTTTAGAATTCATTTGGCTTATGAAGTCTTGTTTCCTCTCTGACCCTTTAAGAAAGTTCATGGACCAGCAGCATGGTTCAGCCAGTAAAGGTGCTTGTGTGCAAGCCCAGCAACCTGAGTCCCGACCCCGAGTACAGGCAAGAGTGGGAGGGGAGGACTGACACCATGTGTAAGCATTGACCTCGACCACTAGGAACACGCCTCCCTCATGGGAGTCCTCTGAGAAATGCTGAGTTTAGGTTTCTCTTTTCCCAATGAAGAATCCTTCTGTTAACCCCGTGAGAATTTGGTTTGCATTAGGTCTTGGGCCATCGTCTTAGGACAGTGTCAGTAGCACTGCCATGATGCATGGGGACACTGCTTTATTACCTTGCACCATGGTGTTGTCCTCAGCCCTCCACACACTGTGGCACATGCACACACATAATAAATCATTTTTACAGAAAGTTTTCTGATGCCTCCTCAGAAAGAGCTTGAGATTGTTCCAGTGTCCTGGGATGCTCAAGAGTTTCAAGATGAAACTGTTGAGTTTCTGTCCACTTAAAAGTTGAAGTAGATGTTATGAAATGGACTTCAGAAAACCTGAAATTGTTCTAAAAAGAGTAAAGTATGTTTTAAAAACAGACCATAACGGGTAGAGTGCAAAGGTAAAGAGACCCATACTGCCAAGGATCCAAAGAGAAGAGGGTGTAGGGTGAGTGGGATTTTGTTTGGTTTGTTAGTGAATTGGTTTGATTTGGTTTGTGGGCTTTGGGTTGTTTTGTTTTGGTGTGAGGGTAATATATAAAAGTTTGTGTTGAGGGTGTGGGGCATACATGCCCATGTGTGCCTCTGGAAGCCAAAACTTGATGTATCTTTCTCAGTCACTCTCCACCTTACTTTTAAGGCAGGGTTTTATCATTGAACCTAGAGCTGGTTGGCCAGGGAACACCAGTAATCCTCCTGTCTGCCCACTGCTCTGGGTTTACAGATGCACAGTCACACCTGGCTCTTTACTAGGGTACAGGGATCCGAATTCAGATCCTCATGCTTGTATAGTAAACACCTGCCCACTAAGCCATCTTCCCAACCCCAGGACTAAGCTTTCAAGGGTTGAAAATAACTGGTTTGCTTAGTGCCATGTTGAGTATGAGCTTGCCAATAGACACTTTAAGTCAGGCTTTTAACTGTTCTTAAACACGTGGCATTAGAGGAAGGATTGCAACAGAAGCTGTAAAGGTGAGAATCATTTGTTGTCGGAGGTTGATTGTTCATTTTCAGCTGCCCGGACCTGAAATATTTACACAGAAAACTGTATTAATTACAACGTTGCTTGGCCAATGACCCTGGTGTATTTTAAGCAAGCTCTTTCATCTTAAATTAATCCATTTTTATTATTTTTATTTTAACTTGAGGTCGCATGGCCTACCAGCAGAGTTTTGGCCGACAACTCATGTCTTTTTCCTCTGGCGGTTACATGGTTTCTCTTGACTCCACCTACTCTCTCTATTCTGCTAAGCCACTGGCTGAAACAACTTTATTTATTAACTGATAAAAAGCAACACATAGCCAAAAGGACTTTCCATACCAATCATTGACACACACATTATATTCGAAGTCTTAAAATGAGAATACTGTGAGTGTGCTATGCCAGAAATACAAACACATTTGTGTCTTTCTACAATGTCAGAATTTATTAACTGTAAACTTACAAGCAATGTTAGTTTTATTGACTACAGTTTAGAAAATCATTCCCATTTCCTTTGGAAGCTGACTATTCACAATCACAACCTGTCATTTTATTCCAATCATCATTAACATTAACTCTCAGATCACACATTAGACTTCACATACACAGTGGGGGGAGGGAGAGAAGGAGAGGGGGGAGGGAAGAAAAGAGAAAGGGAGAGAGAGAGAGAGAGAGAGAGAGAGAGAGAGAGAGAGAGAGAGAGAGAGAGAGAGAGAGGAGACTGACTGTGTCTGTAGACAGAGATTACAGGTGACTACAAAAGGATTAAAGAGGCCACAGAGCTCAAAGGCCTTGCTAGAGGCAGAGAGCTGGTACACACACAAAGAGAGCCACAGCAGGTATTAATAAGATATTAACTAGACCATTTAAAGAGCTGCTGAAGACACAGCCCCAGGACTGCAGGGTCAATCAGAGTCAAACAAAGACAAGAGAACCTTCAAGGTGAGGACTGATCTGGATAGATGGGTGAACAGATGTGTAGATAGGACAGAAATTCAAATGAGTCGCATTGAGCCCCAGCCTCAGAGACATTGAGTTCTCTGCCTGTAAATCCTATCAGACAAACACACACCACTTAGTGCTGAAATGTCAGGCCATCACCAATTGTTGGTCTGGTGTATTTTGATAAGTTGTCAGTCCTGGTTTTTTGACATGCTTTTAATGTACTCCTCCCTGTGCCAAATGTTAGCAGTTTACTTTGTTAACTTTATGGGGATACTTTTTTTACTTGCAGGATTATTTAGCATGCCTCATAGTATATCAGGAACATGGATTTAGGTGTGGCTCACCCTTCCCTGAGAGGGAAACCTCTGGAGCCCCAGGTCAATTATAGGATGTCTCTATTACTACACCCTTTCTCTGATGATGGCAGAACCACATCCCAGGTGTGAAAGGGGGTAAATGTCCTCCGTGGCACAGACAGTACTTGCTCCAGTGTTCTGCTTGGTTTTTTAGTTGTTTGGGTTTTTTTCATTCAGGGCTTGAATATGCTATTTTCATCACTTTTTTGTTTTAATAATGTTGAGGTTAACATCCCAACATGGAGGGAGAAAGTCTCATGATGCCCCCCTTCTTAAGTGAAAAGCTACTGACAGTTGATTGTTACTTAGGGAGGAAGAGAACACACTTCAGTTGATGTTCCTACTCCTGTACATACATGGGTAGCACAAATTGGACTCAGTGAATATATTTAAGAACAAGACAAAGACATGAAGTTGAAGTGGGGTGAATTTGATCAAATTCATTGTATACAGGTATAAAATTTCATAAAGAATCAATAAAAATAATAAATATTTAAAATATTCCATTCAATTTAGTACAGTGGTCCATGTGTCTTGCTGCAAACTGGAGGTCACTTGATTATGTGGCCAGGTAGTGGCAACATCTTGAAAGTTAAAATAGACTGTAGCTACAGAATATTATCAGAACTACTATGGAGAATTACTATCAGAGTAATTTAAACTAATGTTGCATGTATATGCCACGTTTTTAATTAAAGGACTTTTACAGTTAATCTTTGGCTTAAAAGTATTACTATGCTCTTGTATTTTAAATCTTTACCTTGTATGACATACAGTGAAGGTAGATGCAGATCTGGGAAGGAAAGAAATGGAGTTTTTCAGTTGGTTGTAGTCAACTTCTTGAGTGAGCAGAGCACGCCACACAGGTCCTCAGGGGTTTAAAGTCTTCTCACGATCCTCTGTTCCTCTTTGTGCTTTCTGCTTGGGGTTCTCCATATGAGCTCTCTCCTTTCTGCTCCAATAGCTATGCCTGCTGCCACACTTCTCCATCATGATGGTGATGGACTCATCCCTTTGGAGCCCCAAGCCTCAAATAAACTCTTCTGTAAGTTGCCTTGGTCATAGTGTTTTATCAAAGCCATAAAAAAGTAACTAATACAGTAACCTCAGTTGCCATTTCATTGAGGAAAGAGGACTCCAGTTTGTGTCACAAATATGTTCATTGCCTCTGTTCTCATCTTCCCTGCTGTCACAGTGTCGGCCAGCCTCTCCAGTCATCCCCAGATTTCACCTCTGTTTTTTATATTGCCTCCTTCTTGGAGTCCCAATTAAGTATTAGGAATCTTTTTAAAATCGGTTCTCCATAAAAATAGCATAGCACCAAATAGTAGTTAAGTACACTGAGAGAGAAATAAACAAACACTCCATGAAATAAGAGATTTAAAACAAACTAACCAAGCATCCAATAAGCAGTCCTACTTAAATGCGATTTTAGCCTAAAATTTTATTTGGATATTCCCCTTTTGCTGCTCAGATACTCACACATGTTCATATGGGTAACAAGCTATCACTTGCTTATAAAGTTGAATCCAACTGTGTAC